GAGAGGTCAGGCCAGAGAGGCCAGACCAGAGAGGGCCAGACCAGAGAGGCCAGGCCAGAGAGGCCAGGCCAGAGAGGTCAGGCCAGAGAGGCCAGGCCAGAGAGGCCAGGCCAGAGAAGTTAGACCAGAGAGGGCCAGGCCAGAGAGGGCCAGACCAGAGAGGCCAGACCAGAGAGGGCCAGACCAGAGAGGCCAGGCCAGAGAGGCGAGGCCAGAGAGGTCAGGCCAGAGAGGCCAGGCCAGAGAGGGCCAGGCCAGAGAGGCCAGGCCAGAGGCCAGGGGCTCCCCGCCTTGCGGCCCTGCGCCCCTGCTGCCCAGGGCAGCCTTCCTCTGAGTGCCCTTTCCGGGGCCAGCCAAGTGAGGCTGACTGCGCGCTTGTCTGCGATGGGAGCTGTACCTCGCGAGCTACCGTTGTGTCCCCTGGCCAGTGAGGATGTCGGTGGAAGGCCAGCCTGAGCCCGGTGTGCGTGCTGGGTGCACTGGGGACAGAAGCTTGGGCTGGGCTGCTCACAGCCTCTGGCAGCCTCGCCTGCCCCTTACGAATCCCAGGCAGGGGCTGGCAAGGGGCAGGCTGCGGGACAGCCCCCCCAGGCTGGACACACCCTTACCCCATGGGGCGGCCCTGGGGGGACAGGGAGGACTGTCCCTGGGGCAATGGAAGGGAGGGGGGGTGGCTGGGGGAACACCCTGAGCGCTGCCCGGGCCCACCCCAGGCGACCTCCCTGGAGTGCTGGGAGGCCTGCAAGTGGCTTCTGGAGAAGCTGCCTGTGGTCAAGGCAAAGGGGCAGCCAGCCAGGACCCTCCAGGAACTGCACACGCGGGGGGGCTGCGGACCAGACACACAGGGGTTTGTTTTCAAAAGCGGGATGACCACAGGCCGGTGGGCAGGTGTTCCTTCCCGCTCGCAGGGACCTTCCCGCCTTCTTCAGTGACCGCGCCTGGCCTGGGGCTGAGTCTTGGCTGGGGGCAGTCCCCGGGGCCATGTGGGCCCCGGGGCTCACAATACCTCAGCCCCTCAGAGCCTCCTGGAGCACTGGGTCGCTTCTCCCAAGTTAGGGGCTGGTTTGCCCTTGGGACAGCAACTTCCCGGTGGCCGAGCTTGAAGTAGCCCGAGGGGCCAAGCCCGAGGGCCTGGGAGCACAGCCAGCTGGACCCTGCATGTGCCAGATCTTGACCTTGGAAGGGGCCAGCTGGGAGGCCCGGGGAGGAGTCCAGCCCCTCCTCTGGGGGGCAGGGGGTGGAGAGCCCCAAGCTCGGTGGGTTGGTCGTGAGCGGGTCCCAGAGGCGCCTGGGACAGCACTTACCCGCCGGCCCCAGCTCCGGCACGGCCCCGCGGGGGACCCAAGGACGTGCGGGGAGCCCACCTCGGGCCCCAGCCGGCTGGGGTGTCACTGGTCGCGCCTCCGCTCGCCTGCCTTCCTCCAGCGCCGCCGCCGGGCTCTGGCACTATTCTTTCTTAGAAGGGACTTTTTTTTGCGTTGCGTCAGGGCGGTTGCCTGGCGACAGCCGAGCCATTCGCCAGCCTCGGTGCCCGGCCGCGCCTTAGCAGACCAGCGCCGGGCCCGACGCCAGCGGGGTCCTAGAGCCCAGCCCGCCGGCCGGCGCGGCCGAACCCAGGCCCTGCTCGGCGGCTCTGGTGAAGCCCCAAACCGCGGCAGCCTCGCCCTCGATGGCGACGTGGCTTCGCCGCTGTCAGCAGCTTGCGGCCAGGGGCCGGGCAGCCCTGCCAGAACGCTGGGCTCCAGCCGGACGCGAATCCCACGGGCTGAGCGCACCCCGGCTCCCGGAGCCGGACCAGGGAGGCCAGCAGGAAGCAGGCGCAGTGGGAGAGCTGTTCCTCCCGATGGGGCCCCACTGCGGGGAGGGGCACCCGGCCTTGCCAACCGCGGGGACCCCTGCCCCGCCCTGTGCTCTGTGGGGACCTCCCGAAGCTGGACGCGCTGGCTGGCCTCGTCCACGCCGAGCCCATGCTCTGCCCCAGCCCCAGCCATGCCCAACGGGAACAGTCACATGGCGTGGGATGGATGGGGGGTGCCTCCCCCAGACCCCTGCCCAGGACGCTGCTGGAAGGTGGCCTCCTCTCTGGGCGGCCCGAGACATGGGCAAGTCCGTCTGGGTGCTTGGGGGTGGCGGACCCGTGGGTGTTGCTGGCCTGCGGCCGGCGCCCGCCTGTGGCTTCCCCGGGCTCCGGGCGAGTGGTCCCCTTGTTTTCGGGGCTCAGCCCTGGCAGCTGTGCAGGATTCCGGGGGCTACCCGCCCCAGTGCCAAGTCCCTCAGGGTGCGTCGCCCCTTGGGGCGTGGGGAGACCCCTGCTGATGTGGCCCCTCCCAGGCCAGCTGCCGAGCCAGCAGGTGAGCTGAGCAGCTGAGGGGCCGGCCAGCCAGCCCCTCCCCCAGTCTGGCCCAGCCCCCGCCGGGCCCCAAGGCCACCACAGCCACGGAGCCCTGCACCGGCCTGCGGCCTCACAGCCGAGACCCTCCAGGCCGGGGCCCGGGCCTGGGCAGACTCTTCAGCTCAGACTCTCCTCCCGGCTCCCTCCTGCTCACAGCGCGCCACACGCCCGCCTGGTCGGGCTCTGCCCGCCTCTGGGCCTCGGCCTGCTTTGCTCCTCTGCTCTTCCAGAACCTTCTACACACCTGCCCTCCTTCTGGGGCTGGCCATATTTCCACCCTGCGGGTAAACCCCAGTTCACACCCTCACGGCCCGCCCGCCTCACCCTCACCAGCATAACCTGACCTCTATTCTAGAGTTGATTTGGTTCGTGTTTCCCTCACTCAGTTCCGGGAGGGCCAAGCTGGGTGTGCGGGCAGCAGGCTCCTCCCCACGCCGTGGCTGACCCTGCCACGGGGCCCCTGCGGAGCTTGCCCCCCACCGCCCGCAGTGGGCGGGGCCACTGGCAGCCACGTCTGAGGTGGGGCCACGCCACACCATGCACTGTCCCCCCCCAGCCTCCTCCCCGTGGCCACGTGGCTGCCCTTTTGCTTCCGGTGGGGGCACTGCCTTCTGCGCCTGTGTGGACAGGAACCAGGCTGGTCGCCCCCACGGCCCTACGAGGCAGGCGCGTCTGCAGGGACGGCGGTCTCAGCCCACGCTCATCCACGTGCCGCGGTCAGGTGCCCAGAGCGTTCTAGCGAAGAGTGGTGTGGAGCCACGCAAAGGATGTGTTTGAAATATATTTAGTGGCATGGAAACTTCCCAGGACTTCATGCCCAGTGCCCACCGCGGGAGCGCCAGGCGTCTCGGTGGACACCACGAAACCTCTCCTGATAGCTGATGGTCAGCCCCTACGTGTGTCGGGGAAAAGACCATAACCTCTGGGAAGCCGCCCGCGCCCGCCCGGCAGCCCTGTCTGTGCCCAGCAGGGCGCGAGCTCGGCCGTCTCGCCCCGGTGCCCTCTCGGCCCCTTCCCTCGCCCTTCGCTGTGCGAGCGAGCAGGACAAGACCTCCGTCCACTGCGGAATGGCGGGGGGAGGGTCTGTCCCCGCGTGGCCCAGGAAGAGGCCGGAGCTGCAGCCGGGCCGGAGTCCACCTGCCCGGCCATCGGCCTGTGCGGAGACGTCCCGCCCGGCAGCGCAGTCGTGTGGACGCTGAGCGTGGCCCGTGGTCCTGGCGGCTCCGGGGGGCTCGCCCGGGGCTGGCGCAGAGCGGTGGGCCTGGCTGCGCCCCCACCGCAGCTGTTTCAGGCCCCGGGCCGGGCCGGGACTGGGCCTCCGCTCTCCAGTGGGGCAGGTGAGTGAGGAAGCGCCCACCTTGGAACTGGGGTGAGGGAGGAAGCTCGAGGGGAGCCCTGGGTGGCGGGGGCAGGCGGGAGGGCGTCTGCAGGGACCCCTGGGGCTGGCAAGGGATCAGGAGGGCTGAGGTGGGAGCACCCGAGAGCGCTGTGGACACGGGTCAGGTCCTGGACGCGGGGGGAGAGGGGAGCTGGTGGCAGCTGCTGTCCTAGAGAGGCTGAATGTGCGAGGGGACTAGCCAGGAGGCCAGGGCCCCGGGAAGGGGGTGGCGGAACCCCAGACCCGCAGCAGGGTGGCTGCCTTGTCAGCGTGACGGTGCCCAGCCTGCGGCAGGGCTCGGGGCGGGGGCCCAGGCCCTTGTGCTGCCCGGCGGGTGCCTTCCGGCACCGCGCCGGGCTGTCTGGAGAGCACAGACGGGCCCCGCCGCTCTCAGGTGAATGTTGCACGATCGGATCGAAACGCCCAGCAGATAGAACCAGCGGTCCCGGAGAATGGTTGTTCGGGACGATGCCAGGGGCTTAGGACAAGGAGGGAGGGAGGAGAGGAGGAGGTGGGCAGGGCAGGAGAGGACAGCAGAGGAGTGTCCAGAATGGACGACGCCTCCCAGCTCCCGTGTTGGGCCCCACTCCCAGTGTGAGGGTGTTGGGGGGCCTTTGAGAGACAGTGAGGTGGCCAGGTCGGAGCCCTCCGACAGATTAGTGTCCTTTCAGGGAGACCCAAGGGGGCTTCCTGGTGCCCCCACGTGAGGACCCGGCCAGATGACCTCCTGGAAGCTGAGAAGGGTGTCCGCAGACACGAGTCTGCCGGCTCCGTGGCCCTGGGCTCGGCTTCCAGGCTGGGAGCTGGCGTCTCTGCTGTTGCCAAGCCCGCAGTCTGCGGCCTCAAACTAAAGACGGAGGAAGGTGGTGGAACCCATCGTTGCCCCATGGCCAGTCCCTGGACACTTCCCGAGGCCTCGGCCTGTGGCTCCTGCACGCAGAGCCGCGTCACACCTCCCCACTGCAGGCCTCTCTCTCCTAGGGCCTGACCTAGAGGTGGAGTGACCCACCCTCGTTCTTTTACGTGTGACCGCCCCAGTTTCCCAGCTTCGTTTGTCGAAGGCACTCTCCCTTCTCTATTTTATGGGTCTGGCCCGTTTGTCGTAAGTCAGGATGTGTGTGTGGATCTGTTTCTGCGCTTTTGACTCTATCCCAATGGTGCCATGTGTCTGTTTTTATGGCAGTACCATATTGTTTTAATTATTGTTGCTTTATAAGATAGTTTAAAACTAGGGTGCATGATACCTCTATTTTTTTTCTTCCCGCCCCCTCAGAATTGCTTTCATTATTTAGGGTCTCTTACAGTTTCATAGAAAAATTGGCATTATTTGTTCTATCTCCTTGAACACTATCATTGTTTATATGGGAGTTCATTAAATCTATATAATATGGTTGTTTTGAGTTCATTAATTCTCCCCCCATGAACAGCGATGCCTTTCCATCTCTGTCTTGTTCCATATCTTTGAGTAGTATCTGATGGTTATCATCTTATAAATCCTTCACCCCTTGGTTAATTCCTATTATATTCTTTTTATTCAACTGTAAATGGAATTGTTCCCTTAATTTATTTCCTTTTCATTCATTATTTGCATATAAAAATGTAACAGCTTTCGTGTGTGCTAATTTTGCAGCCCACAACTTCTCTGGCTTTTTTCCTCATAGCTTTTTGCTGGTGTCTCTCAGGTTTTCTATATATAGCATCATATTGTCTGCAACTAATGGTAGTTTCACTTCTTCCCCAACCTAGGTTCTTTTTATTTCTTATTGCCTGGCCGCTCTCACTAACATCCCTCCTAGTAAATGAAACCGGAGTGGCGACAGGGTCCTCCTTGGAAGGGAAAACTTCCCGCTTTTCACGGTTAGGGATGCTCCCGGCTGCAGGTGTGTGATCTGGGGCCTCTGTTCCCTTTTGCAGGAAGTCAGCAGGGGTGACCTTTGCGATGACCCCTCTGCAGCCGGAGATGCCACAGCTAGAAAAAGTCCGGCCTCTTGCTCTCAGGGAAGCTGGCCCGAGTGGACTCGCCGGACCCTCTCTGAGAGCGGGGACCAGACCCGGCCCGCCTGTCCCTCCTCCTACAGGCTGCTGAGCCCAGAGCCAGGCACGGCACGGTGTGTCCACCCAGGAGTGACCACCGGGGAGAGGCCATGCTGCCCTCCCTGCCCCAAGGCCCAGCTGGCGAAGCCTGCGCCCCTGACTGCTGGCGTATGGAGGAGCAGGTGGCGGCTGCAAGCCTGCCCTGTCCCCTGGGGGTGTCCCCACGCAGGCCCAAGCGCCGGGGCCCCTGGTTCTAGGCTGTGTGGGCCGATCACTCCACGGTGTCCGCCCCCGGGGAAGGGTATTTTGCGTTGGAGTCAGAGGGCTGAGGTCAGGCAGTCTGTGGGGAGAAGCTGGAGCAGGACACCTCGAGGTGAAGCGGTCACCCTGGAAGCTTCCTCTGGGGAGGGCCTGAGAGGAGCTGGGGCCCTGGAGGTCACGGCAGCTGGCGCCCCTCACGGCCCACTCTGGCCCACGGGCTCACCTGAGGCCCCCAAGGTGGTCCAGGGGCTGGGTGGCCCAGGAGCAAAGGGGAGCATGTTGCCTGCGTCCCCACTGGCGACTGAGGAAAGAGCAGGC